AGGAAGAAGATAAAGATGATGAAGATGGAAGAGAGAAAACATAATTGTAACTAACTTTCTAACTGAAAATAAAAATTCTGTTACAATGAATCATCTTTCTAACTGAACAGAAGTTCAGTATTTATACACACTCTCGAATCTGAGATGCCAAACTAAAATGCATTACAAGCTAAATCTTAAATGACACTTAAATGAAATGCTAACTGAATTGAGATTACACTTAAATATGCGTATAATATTTAAGAAATAAAGAATGGTTGGAACAATCATACCAATTTTGACAATCTAGGCTTAACTTGCTGCACACGAGAACGATTAGTAATCAACAACAAAAATATCATAAGCTAATAATACGATCAATCATATACTAATTGGATACAACTCCTCTTACACGTCAGAAGAATACTACCTAACTCTTCTTCACAGGCTTCAAATGAACTTTGAATGGTCATGATTTAATTATCACTGATTGATACACTTTGTCAATCCCAAATATTGATTCAACTATTTGACAATTATTGGTACTTCAAGGAATACACTTATATTAGAATCTTTTGTAATTGTTGAAACTTTTGGAGAATCATTTCCAATAACCACAAGCTGCATTCATCTTTTATTTTTTATTTTTATGATAACCTTGGAAGAATATGTCACTTAGAAGATATTTTTTGTTTCTTTCTTTTTATCTCACAAAACTTTCAGCATGTTATAGTGTGAATATATGTCCCTATTTAATCAGGATCAATCAAGAAAAAACTTTAAGACATAGTGTCCGGTTTTCGGTTACACTGTACACACCTTAAAATATTCTCACTTTAATTCTAGATGAATCAAAACTTAGAGAATATCTTAAATACAATTAATGTTTAGAGAATATACTAGTAAGACTTTACTCTAAGTTAATCTATGTAATGCATGCAATAAATAATCAGAAAATAGTAAATCAATGTAATACCATTATAATTCATTTAATTGCATAACCTTCTAAACGATTAGAAAAACTCGTATAGGATTGAAGGAACCACATTGTCAAATTTTAGAGTTGCAAGACTTTGATCAAAAGACCAATTATGATACCAATTATTGAGTGAGAATATGGACACAAATAAGTATAGAATATGGGGTTGAATAAACCTCTCCCTTTAAGACAATTTCAAAAATATTTTAGGTCCCATAAACAAAATAAGAGATTTTAAGAAGCACAGAAGAAAAACACAAAATCGGAGAGCTAGAAAGCATCTCAATGAATTAAACCAAATGAAATAATACGCAATATCAAGGACTTGATTGCTTCTAATGCAAGTCAATCACAAGACAACTAAATTCGCTTTAAACAAAGTGATTTATAAACACTTTACATAGATATTCATTCAAGACATAATTGTGTCTATGATAATCTAACAAGATTGATGCATCACATATCTAAACTTATACATTAAATCTCTATAAGTGTGACCTATCCTATATGACATACAATCAATGCAATAATGCACTAATGCAATATCAATATTAATGAATACTAGAAAATTAAAAGGAAAAAAGGGAAGAGGAAAAGATACACAAAAATATATATATATATATATATATATATATATATATATATATATATATATATATATATATATATATATATATATATATATATATATATATATATATATATATATATATATATATATATATATATATATATATATATATATATATATATATATATATATATATATATATATATATATATATATATATATATATATATATATATATATATATATATATATATATATATATATATATATATATATATATATATATATATATATATATATATATATATATATATATATAGTGGTTTGCCGTTTGTCCTTGCTTTGCATACTCCACTCTTTGATGGTGTTAATTAACCATTGTAAAATAATCACGATCTTTCACTATTTTGATAATTTTTATACAAGCATTTTTGTTACAACAAACTTTTAAACGATAATTCTCCCTATTGATGCAAACACTCAATTTGCTAAGAAAACAAGATCTATAAAGATCTTGATCCAATAACCTTGCTATCCACAATAAACTGCTCCAAGTATTTTTGTGTGGCAATCAATCTGATCCCACTGATTTCTCGTCTGAGCGATTCTCATTAACTAAGTGTTTATTGGACAACTCCTAACTTTATCTCTGAGTAATCTTTCTCCAACGCCACCAAAGAAGTACAACTTCCAACTCCTCCTTACGGATCGTTGATACTTGATATCGCCAACGTCTTCCTTGGAGTATATTGAAAACTCTCTCCTTGATAGATAACAATAAAGACCAATTTGCATTCAAGAAATGATATATGCACCTGTTACAAACAGCAAACTTCACACAAAAAACATTAGATACCCCAATGTACCACTAGCCTCCCTCAACTCTCAATCTTTAGAGATGAAAGCCCTCAACAATGGAAAAAGACTACGGATGAAGATATGACCAGTGCCAAAATATCTCACAAATACTCTAATTCACAAGGTGTTAGTCAAGTAATTAGATGTAGATGAAAGAAGAACACAAACACACACACACACACACACACACACACACACACACACACACACACACACACACACACACACAAGGTTCTCTCTAATTTTTGGATAACTGAGTTTTGGTTCTTGATTGATATACTGAGATTGATTAATCATGATGGATACATAATATTAATCAACTCGCTCTCTCTAATTCACTCACAAACAACAATAAATTGCATAAGCACAAAGTGCAACAAAAAGAAGTGAATATGACATAGAGTAACACTCAAGAAATTGTTCTAGAGAAGAAGATAAAGAATAATGGTGTTGTGTATAGACACACTAAAGAAGATAAGACAAATTGTATTTTTGTCTCAAAAATGGGTTTCTCTCTTTTTGGTTTTTCACATATGTTACTTTTATCAAAGAAACAACTTTATAAATTTAAGATGGAAAAATTGGATTTTGTGAAGCCATGATTCGAGTCAAGAGGAAATCATGATTCAAATTACAAGATAACATGATTTAAACCAAGTTAAGTTCCTGATTCAAATCAATCTAAGCAGACCCCAAATATGACTTTATTAAGACACATGATTCGACTCATGGATAACACTTGATTCGAGTCACAAAAGTATGTGATTTGAATCAGGTTTATGTTATGATTCAAATCAAGTAGTCCAGAAGCAAATATCAAATTTTCACAAGTTTATGATTTGACTCATATTTAGTACATGATTCATATCAAACACTCAACATCTCGATTTTAAGAGTTCTAACTTGTGATTTAAGTCACCTTTGATGAAACGACAAAAGGACAACTTGCTAGGCTCAGAAAGAGACAATATCAATGAATCAAACTCTCTAAATATATTGAATATTGAGGGGTCTTAATGGTTCAATTTCTAAATAGCTGAAGCGATTACGATAGATCTCGAATACGAATAAAGTATAAACACATGAATATTAAATGACAAGCAAATTACAAATACGCAAACAAACTATAACAACTACACTCAAATTAGCAAAAACATCAAAACAAGTAAATGATACCATATGATAATGTGACGACACTTTTAAGAAGGAATACAAATTGGATTTCTAGGGTTTGCTTCAAGTAAGAAGGAAGAAGGAGAAGTTTTTTTTTCCGTAAAGGACATTTAATCAGATTTTAATTACATAAAAAAATTCTTTAATATAAATGATTTAAATCTAATAAACAATATTTTTTGTCAAGTAGTATAATGTCTAGAATTTACCTTTCTAAAGATGAATAAGTGGGATGTTGCGAGTTTGAACTCGTACCTCTACATCCAATATTCTTACACAACAACAAGCCCAACTGCCTTAACGAAACTATAAAAAATACATTTAATATTGTATTATTAATTTTCAAATAAAAAATAAATTATTTCAATTAAATAAAATATTAAAGTTGACATGGTGCCATGGGAGTGCCACATAATAAATGAAAAGATCACTTGTGCAAAAGTGGATGGGACAAAAAAAATTCTAAGGTAAGTAAAGTTGAGAGACACAAACAAATTTTTAAAATAGAGACCAAAAAATAAGAAGAAAAAATCTAAATAGGAGATCAAAATAACATTTAAACCTTGAATCAATTAAAACTGTTTTTTTTATAATCAAAATTTGTATATTATTTTTTCGTTATAAATTCTATAATGTTTCTATCATTTTACACACAAATTATAAAACACACTATTGGAGGGTCTAGGAAGTGTCAATGGACTAACGTTTATGAATTCAAGAGACTTTAACACCATATATCTATCCAAAATTTTAAGACATTAAAGGTATGAGTTCTTTCTCTAATAAATTTAACATTTTCTCTATTTTCTTAACCGATGTGGAACTTAACCACTCACATTTGAATCTCAACAATCTTCTTCAAAAGTGTGAGTCACTCATATTATCAATCTTGATCCACACTAGAATCCACTTCCGTTCCCACTGAATCTAACTAAGGCTCCGATACCATTTGTTGGAGAGTTCAGAGAGTGTCATAAGTGTCAATTGACTAATGTTCATGAATCCAAGAGACCTCGACATCACATATCCACCAAAAACTTAAAACATTAAGATTATGAATCATTTCTTTTATAAATCCAACATTTTTTCTTTTTCTAATCGCAAAGAGATTTAACCACTCATTCTTGAATCCGAAGACATTCTTAATTTTACATTAAAATAAATAATAATAATAATAATTGCGATCATATATATAATCTTTTCTTTTCATTGCTTTTTGTTTTTTACCTCTCTCTTTTTATCTCCCCCTTTCACATCTCCCAATGACCAATGAGATAATTTGACAATGCTTATCCTTCTTTTCTCCAAAAACGAATCTGATTTGTTCCTAAACCTCAGCAACCAAAAGATTGTCCTAACTAATATAAGACAACACAACACAACCTCAAACCACAACAGCACAAACACATCACTCACTCCAAAAGAGTCACTTCCACTTCAATGGCCATCAAAGACAAAGAAAAGAAACTCTTTGTTTCTTCACCAAGAAACTATGCGGCAGAACTCAAATTTCTCCTCACATCATTACTACTTCTATGCACCATTGCTACTCTCTTTCACTTCATTCCTTCTTCTTTCACTATCTCAGCTTCTGATCTCAGACTCTGTATCTCAAGAATCTCTCAAACCCCACCACCACAAGCTTCTTCCATTATCCATGAAAAACTCATTACCAACAACACCATCAAACGTTTCTTCAACCCTTATGGCTCAGCAGCCTATAACTTCATCACAATGAGTGCTTATAGAGGAGGACTCAACACATTTGCCATCATTGGTCTTTCTTCAAAGCCTCTTCATGTTTATGGAAATCCTAGTTATGAATGCGAATGGATCCCTTACACAAACACTTCCTTAGAAAAAATTACTACAAATGGTTACAAGATTCTCCCTGATTGGGGCTATGGCCATGTCTACACTGTTGTTGTTGTTAACTGCACTTTCAATGACACAATCAACCGCGAAAACAATGGCGGAAAGTTAATGCTTTACGCTTCAACATCAGGTGGTGGTGACAGAAGCTTCAATCTTACTGATAAAATGGAAGTTCTTGTTGAGCAGCCTAAACTTTTGGATCACACCCTTTTTGATTCAAAGCCAAAGTTTGAATTTTTATACTGTGGATCATCTTTGTATGGGAATTTGAATCCACAAAGAGTGAGAGAATGGATAGCTTATCATGTGAGACTATTTGGGCCAAACTCACATTTTGTGATACATGATGCTGGTGGTGTTCATGAAGAGGTTTTGGAGGTTTTGAAGCCATGGATTGAACTTGGTTATGTTACATTGCAAGATATTAGAGATGAAGAAAGATTTGATGGATATTATCATAATCAGTTCATGGTTGTGAATGATTGTTTGCATAGATATAAGTTTATGGCTAAGTGGATCTTCTTTTTTGATGTTGATGAGTATATTTATGTTCCTCCAAAGAGTACTATTAAGACTGTGGTTGATTCTCTTTCTGACTATTCTCAGTTCACAATTGAACAGATGGCTATGAGTAGCAAGGTTTGTCTCTCTCATGATTATGGAAAAACTTACAGGTATGATTTTGAATTATTCTTCTCTTTTTGTTTTTGCTTAAATTAGACTAGCCTAACAGCTTCATTCTGCATTATTTCGTCGTGATTCAGTCAATCTCATTGTAAATCAAAATATACACAAATGTGTCTGGTGTTCGGCACGTCAGTATTATATGTGTCTGCACATGTGTGTCTGGTGTTGGATGTGTTAATAATGTCGGTCTCTATGTGATATAAAATCATAGATTATTATGGATCTAGAGTTTAAGTTTGGTTGGATACAATTGGAAAGAGAGGGGACAAACAATTGTATTGCTGTGGTGTACATGAATTTGGAACTATTAACCCATTCCTATGATATTAATTTTGTTTTACATAGTGTACCAAGACAGGTAGATGTGGGACATGCTTGACCTTTGTGGTAATGTGATTTGTTTCTAAATTGAACCATATAGTATTAATTAAATAAGTAAATAAATAACTATATAATACAGTAACTTTGTCCAAGTTGTTCAAGATTCTTCCAACATATGTTGAAAGTTCAGAACAATTCTTTATTCATCCATCAATGTCTTCATCAATAAGATAGCTGCACAATGTTCAAAATCATGTGAATTTCATCAATTGATGGTGATTCTTTGTAGTGTGTAGGTATAGACTTCATTTGAGTATTTTATTATTCATAGTAACAACTATATACCATTTAATTTGGTCATAGTCCCACACAATAGTTGTTAGATCTAGCTGTCTAAATGAATTCTTTCAAGATTCTGAAAAAGAAAGGTATAAAAATTATCAGTATGGATTCGAATCTAGTCTTAAAAATGTATCAGTGTTAAAATATTTTTAGTGTCGTCCATTGTAGACCTTATCAGTTCAAGAGACTAGTCTCTGCATATGAACGCTGAGTAAAACTGTAATGTTTACTATGCAGAAAATGGGGATTTGAGAAGCTTGTGTATAGAGATGCAATAACAGGAATTAGAAGAGATAGAAAATATGCTGTTCAACCAAGAAGCCTATATGCAACTGGAGTCCACATGTCAGAAAATTTAGATGGAAACACAACTCACAAAACTGAAGGTAGGATCAAATATTTTCACTACCATGGAACCATAGCACAAAGGAGAGAAACATGCAAGTTGCTAGTGAATTCTACAAAAATCACTTATGAAAAAACTCCTTATGTGTTGGATACTACAATGAGAGACATTGCTGGTGTCATTAAGAAATTTGAGCTTAAGATGATTGGATCAAGGTTGCAAAATACAAGACAATGATTCATACCTTCAATTATTATTATTTTCTTTAACTTTTTCTTTAAGGGTCTTAAATATAAAGTTATTTAATTTATCTTTTTATAGGATAGAATATCATTTAAAGGTTCTTTCTTTTCTATTATGTATTATAGTCTTTTTCTTAGTTTTATTTTTTACTTTTGAATTTAGTATAGAAAGAGATGGATAATATTCTTATGTGGTTCTATGTTATTTATTTATTTATTATTTTTTACTTTTTATTATAGGATGTATTTTGTAAAATGATAATAAAGATGAATTGTTTAACAATCTGTCAGTGTGATCCACACATTGTATGAATCATATTGATGGTTGCCAATGTGATATGTTGCTTTCTTTGTGTGCAACTTTTATTTTGAGTAGTGATATTATTAAATTTGTCTACTTTTTTGCTTTTTATTTTGGGATCCTTATTCCTCTATAATTTTTTATAAAAGCATTTTTTTTCCTTATAAATACCATGTTTTTTTTTCTTTTAATTTATTATCAACATTTTATCTTTATTAAATAAATAAAATATCGTGGATTTAAATCAGTATTTATGCAATTAATTTTTTTTATATAAATTTAAGAGCATTTAAATAAAATAATAAATTTTTTTAATAAATTTAATTAGAGATTATGAATTCGAATTTAATCTTAACAATGAAAATTGAATGGTCATCATTTGGTGGCATTAAGGTTTAAAGTGTCTCGTTTGGTGCTTATATTTATAAATTGTTAATTTTGTCGGTCGATACCTAGTAAATTATTGTCCAAGCTATAAGGACATAGATAATTATATAAAATTAGCTGCATCGTGATCGAAATTTTATGTCATATTTAAACATAAGATTAATTCTTATGCAAGTGTAAAAAAATTATGATGATTTGTTGGTATTATTTTTTAAGTGATTAATATAGAAATTAAATATTTTAAATAAATTAATGATTCTAATTAGCTGATAATATAAAAAATCTTTACAATATCAATGTATGTTAATTAAACTCTTTAAACATTGCTTCAATGTGGTTTTGATTAAATGAGATACTTTTCACTACATAAGATACTTTACATTTTTTTTTAACAATATTCAATGCAAAATAGTTTGAGATGCGAGTTCGAATCTGCGATGTTTTACTTATTAATTTTTAAATAATAAATTTTAACTATTAAATTATTTGACTAAAATAACTTATTGTTGTTGAACTTGGAAATCGAATAAGAATTAAATAACAACTCTTGATTGTGATTCAATTTTCTTCAAACAAATATGCTAAAAAGATGTCAAGTGTTGGAACTTTGAACCACAAGATTGATGAACAATTATGAAGAAAATTGATAGAGAAAGAGATTTTTATTTTCTTGAAATAAGAATGCCTCCATGGTATTTCTACAAGTGTTACAAAATAATTGGAACCTAACCCATGCAAGTACACAACTGAAAAACCAAAAGCACGAGCCTCTAACCAGTTAAACCAAACCTGTAACTGGTTACAACTGACATTAAAATAATTCTTCTTTTAGTGGTAATCGGTTATACCCAGGTGTTAACCGGTTACAACTTCGATAATTTGCCTTGTTCTTCAGTTCATAAGTGTTTTTGCTCTTGTTGTAACCGGCTACAACACTTGAATTACTAGAGTCACTTTTAACACGCCACCTTAATTTAAGTGTTCCAAGTCTTTCATGCTCATATTCATCTTCAACATCTTGAACACATCATTTGTGACTCCCTTAATTAACAAATCAGTCACTTGGTTTTCACTTTTGCCTTATCTCAATCTTAATCTTCCTTCACTAACAAGTTCCTTCAAGTAGTGAAACCTCATTTCAATAGGCTTGCTTCTCCCATGTGCAATTAGGTTCTTAGCAATATTAGTCGCGAAAGCGTTCTCAATCAGGAGTGTAACAACCTCACCCTCATTGGTGCCTAACTCCTCCAATAGATTCATAAGTCACACAACTTGGCACAGGGGAGGAGCGTGACTTCTTAGATCTCCCTCGGAGCTTTAGGGAGGACTCTGGTGCTTTTTTCTCCTCTGCTGATTTTTCTACTTAGGAGCTTTATCTTTTTTGTTGCGGTCGACTCAGAAATGACAAATTGATTTCTCTTTGATATAGCCTTTTAGAAGGTGTCTCCTAGCGGATGTGCATTGTGCAAGCTTTCCTCAAGACAAATCAATCTTTTTTTCTATCTCCAACGAACTCTACTACCACACAATATTGTACATGTTGTTTAGCAATTCATCGCACCTTGTAACCCAAGGTTAGCTCGCAGCAGTTGGAAACCAGGTAAGGCCTCAGGTTGTGAAACTAGCAGCGAAATCGTTAGTCTAGTCGAAGGCACTTGGACAGATCTATCTATATGAGGAACATGGAGCAGATCTGGATATAACATAACCTCTTCTCCTGGTTTCCCAATGCCCTGTAAAAGAGGTGGAAATGGTTAATTGATCGCTGATTGAGTAGCGGTAACGTCAACGACTTCTCGTGCTGCAACGTAGCGAGTAGCTTTAGATTCAACCATTATCGAGAAATGTAGAAGTTAGACATTTGGAAATTTAGGAAATCAAAGTTGATATGCTTCTTGATTGGATTGAACGCGACAGATCTTCGTGTTCGATTTTGAGAGTTAATGATTCGATGACCTAAAAAAGTTTCGAATTGAAAAATCGAATAACAAATGTGAAATCGTGGAAAATGCGGGAATCATAAGTTGTTTTCCATAAACAATGTCATTATTCTGTACTAGAACCAGAAATGGAGTAAGGATCATTGATAGCGGGGGAGAATGGGCTGGCATAAAAGGTTAACACTTCAACTTTTAAGTTAGTATGTGAGGAAAAAAAGTGAATTGAAACTGAATTTGAAATTGACTACATAAATTGATGCATTCTCTATATATATTGGAGAGGAAATAACAACCTACTATTTGTTAGGCGTGAACTGCAAGGAGTCATTAGATGTATATGGAGTTTGAATCTTCTATACTTATATGCATAGCAGTTCTCGTGTGTTGGAAAAGTTCTAGAAAGATTTAACTCCTTTAGAGTGATCGATCAAAAATCAATATAATTGGCCCAAAACATAATTTAAAAGAAATATGTGACAAACAAATTGAAGTTGATAAAAATGGCTATATATTATATTCACACTAGTTGCAATTTAAGTTAAAGCCCATAATTACTAAGATGTTAAGTTATTTCTAATTTCTTTGTGAATCACCAGTGTGGTTGATATGATCATTCTCCAACTTTTATACGTGGGTTTGTGTGACTTTGTAATTTAAGTTGATGTGGAATGAAAACTTTAAATTCTTATATTGAAGGTTAAATTTAATGGAGGCTAATAAGTATTATTAAATTGAGAATTTAACCTGCCAAACCCCACCCCCCCCTCCCCCCACCAATATTTCATAATGCTAAAATTGTCTTTGGGTGAAAAATCCATCAAATTTTTGTATGAAATTTCTAGTAAAGTTTAAAAATTTTGATAGTTCATTTGGAATTTTCGGTGTACCAGAAATTTCGGTAAAGTGTAAAATGTTCCTGAAATTTGAAATTTTTGTGGTGATACCGGAAATTTCACCCTAAGTGAAATCATCGGTAGTTTCATTTTTAGGGTTTTTTTGGATGATCAGGATTTTGCCTACAGTTTTGTGCGATTGTGATTGCACCGACAGTTTGTGTGGTCCATAATAGATTCAAAGCTGTATAAATAAGTGTCACCGGTTGTTGATAAACACATCTCAAAAAATGTTTTTTCCCCCAATGTTTGATTAAGGCAGAAGTGTACTTCAATGGAGCTTCTCCTCCTGTAGAGTTCAAGCTTCCCGATGGCACCACCTCTTTTGTCGGTCTGACGTCGAAGTTGAATGAATTGCTTCCTGATGGAGACAATAGAAAGGTGAGAAAGATCGAATTTCGTGAAGACCGATGAAGATGTAAAGGAAATGTGGAGACCATTTCGTTGTAGGATAACAAAGGGTCCGATCGAGTTAGATGTGAAGCTGTCAAGATCCATTGACGACATAATAGAGATGTTGAAACGTCCTGAAGCGTCTGCTAGTGTTTAGGTTTTTCTTATTTATTAATCATATTGTAATGTTAAGTGTTTTCTGTTTAAGTTATGAAAACCATTGTTAGATGTTAGTTAACGTTCACACTATAATTTATAGAAGATCACTAATATTAGCTAATAAAGTGTTATGATAAAGATGTTTGAATAATATACAAATAATCCAAAAGATATCTAAATAGGCCTCCCTACATACTATGTGTGCAGCCCGAGCTAATCCATTATAAATGTTACCATCTGGATTTACCAAACCCATGAGGTTATCCATAATCACTAGAGTCATCTGGAAGCTCTGATGGTCATTAGCATGATCTACTGGAGGATGCAGCGACGTCATGTCATCAACAGGTATCCGATCATCATATAGGGGGTGGGGTTATGCGAGGGTGTGATACAATAGGGTACCACTCTAAGTAACCATCCTCACACTACAAGAGGTGCTGAACAGTGACCGCTGAATCTCTGATGGCACGACCGAAGCTGAGGAAGTTAATCTAAAACTACCAGTCAATCCCTGAAGCTAGAATATCTAGAATTGGTCATGGGATACCTTGAACATAACCATATTGTCGCGGAAACCTCTCAGGCAAGTGTTTAGTAACCATGGTCTCCCACCGCATATAACCTGAATATAATGACGACTCATCAAACTCACGGTGGGCTCTATGACCAGTGTATGGTGTAACACCCCACTTCCCAAATTAAATAAAATATAAACATTATAAATAAACATCAGAGTTTTCCCCAAAATAGTGGGATATCACATCACCAAATTTTTATAAAAATACTTTATTAATTATTCTCAAAAATAATACAGCGGAAAACATTATTCCAACATTCTCGGCCATCCGCCAAATTTCGTAAAATCTTTATTATTATAATTCACAAAAAAAAAGTGATACGTCACAGGATTACAACAAGT